GCACACGGTTGTGTGTTGGGTGACACCATCAAGACCGGTAAAACAAACAGTCCTCCTAGACAAGACTAAATAGAACAATAAAAGCCTCGCGGGGCCTAAAACCATTTTCCTCTTGTGTCGTGTTCTCATTTATGTTGCGGGCACTGAGCCAGCCGTAACAATTCTACAAACTCTTTACTGCAGTTGTTTATGGTAACAGATTATATAACAAGATGTGCTAAAGTAAACTCGTGGTTTCTGCAGCCACTCATCTGCAAGGCTTACTGCATGTACAAGCCAAAACAGTTCTAACCAGGAGGGCTCCACTTAACTACTTTACTCCCTGTAGATAAATAGTAAATGACTGTGCTTATATAGCACCTTTCCATCCAACCAGGTTACTCAAAGTGCTTTACAGCACAATGTGTGCACTCGGTTACTCATCCACACACACATACAGCACTGTTACATCTCTACAAAGCTAATATGAATAAATCATTTTATAGAGTCTGATCAGTGCTTTAGATCACATTCATACAACAGGAAGATGCATCAAGGGCAATGAGCAGTTCAGTGTTTTGCCCAGAGAAACATTGTCATGTGACTACTGGTGGAATCCATGATGTTTTCTCAACATGTATGGTTATTGCAGGGTCTTGGTCTTAAGGAGTATACAAAACAGATGCTAATAAATCAGTTTCATTAAAGCTTAAAAAATTAAAATACTTTCATAGTAGGATTATGGTAGATTGTCATATCTATCACTTTATTCCTGCTTTTGTTTCTTGCCAGTTTGTGGAACGCTCTCCCGCTAAATATTAGACAGGCTACCTCATTGTGTTCTTTTACATCTTTACTATTACTTTTTATCATTTTGAAGATTTTCATTTTGGTCTCTTTTTTTAAATAGATTTGGTATATGTTTTGTCTTTTATATTGTCTTTTATGATGTTTAAATTGTTTTTTTTTTAATGTAAAACACTTTGTAACATTTGTCTAAAAAAGTGCTATGCAAATAAAGTCATTATCCATTCCTCCATCTATGCCCACTTCTTCCTTTCAGGGTCACTGGTGCCCATATTCAGCAGTCACTGTGCGAGGGGCGGGGCACACACTGGACAGGTCACAAGTCCATCACAGTAAAGTTAAAATAGTAATAATTCTTATCAGGATGGTCTGGGCAGAGTGTAGAGGCAGGGACCTGTGTCCACTTGGTTGTGGAGACTATAAAGCAGGACTGGTTCTGGTCAGGGAAACAAACTAGCACTAATGTGCTACCTGTGGCATTTACATGACCGTAGCATGTCCTGATCTTCTGGCGTGTAACTGCATCTTAACCTGGTCCAAAACGAGTGTTTACAGTACGTGGAAAAAAGTGTTCAACTTAAAATGAAGGTGTCTGCATACGGTGTAGTAGATCTCGGGTTGCTTTGGTGCTCAGTCCTGGTCCTGCCGGGCCACTGTCATGCATGTTTTACTTGTTTCCTGCTCTTCACGAGTTTTATAAGTTCTATGGTTAAACATTTTGTTTTTTAAAAGTTTATGACTCTTTCATTCAGATCAGGTGTGCTGAAGAGGGGAAACATCTGAAACATGAAGGGTAGTGGCCCTTGAGGACCACAGGGGCCTGCTGTCAAAGTGACTCCAAAATTTGCAGGAAATTCTTCATGTAACCTAAAAATACTACACTTTGAARAAGAGAAACTCATGTTATTGAGTAAGTCCATTTTCAAATTTAATGCAAACGACAGGRAACCATAAGCAACTGCGMTGACYTGTTAAGCCCYAARGGGTTTTRGAGGTAATTTCCGCCTGAAAATACACAGCAAAATAAAGCAAGAATAGCTCCACAGTTATAAGGTCTAAATGTTACCTCTTRGTACCTCTATAAAAKGTAAGATCTTAAAGATAATTTCTTAAGTGAAACCACTATTGTAACTCACTGTGCCTGAGTTATTTGTGATTAAATAAAGAAAATTTGTAATTTTTTTCAGCCTCGCCTTWATTTTTTTAATCAACARTGCAAAACACAATGAAAATTCTTGTGAAAACCCAGGAATGMCTTAGATTTTATACATCGAGAAAAATTGTAGCAAAGGAGGACTGAATAACTTTTAGTATATTCATCTCACAAAGGTTTTAGTGAGCAGTGTGCCAGGCGGAAATGGCATTTTGGCACAATTGAGCCAAATGTACCCAAAACCGTGCCAAATGGGTTTTTTACTTTATAAAAGATAATCTGGTCTAATAAAAGTGTTGATTTCATAGGACTCATTCTGCATATGACATTGCCTTTTTTTTTTACATTTACACTGTGCATCATCAAAATCTACCATTATGCACACCATGAAATTACTGAATGGAACGTAACTCCGCCTCAACGTTTTACGCATGAGGACTGCCATTTATACTCTCGGTTACGCAAAAACTTCATGTCACCAAACAAAAAGAGTAACAGTGTCAAATATATCCTTGAATTCATTAGAGTTTTGTCTTTTCAAAGATACCAAAGGGAGGGGTATGGAACCAAAACTTGTACAGTGACAGATGCGGAGAACTTCCTGATACTGAAACAGTCCACGATGGTTCAAGTAACTTAATATTTATGTAGCTCTAAAATCATAAATATTTATCCAAAAATAATTTGGCAACTCATTTTAAAAACATTAAAGACACCGTTTGTGACAGACTTAGAAAAAAATTGGGAAAAATAAGTTTTACACCTACTGTACTTAGCAAACAATGAATGACACCATCTGTGGGCCCTGTTCAGGGCCCATAGGGCTCAAGGGTAAATGGAAATAAGATAAAGTAGAAGTAGGAGAGAGACTATCAGATTTTCAGGTGGAGGTCGATGTGAGCAGATACCAATGATAGAGACTGAGGAYATAAAAAAGTAAGTGMTTTTATTTACAACGGTGCTGGGATCTGGGGACGGGAACTGAAACAGAGGTTTTGCAGAGAAGAATAACAGGTAGGTTTTCCGGTATGGTTTTGAGCAGGTAATAATTTGAAGATGAGGCTTACGGGTTGGTGAAGGAGATGAAACTTGGAGGAGGAGGTCCGACAGGTGAAGTTCCACAGGTGATTATTTTACAAGTGCAGATTTATTTGCAGGGTTACRTTGGAGGCAGCGCATGAGATCCAGGTGAGTTTGGCTCGGTTTYCAAGGCGGGGTTAATGTGCTGGAGGTCRCTTCTGAAAACAAGTAAGCACAGGTACAAAGGTAAGATAAACTCTCTATGAGAGCGCAAGTAGCAGGCTGAGCTCATACCCAACAGAGGCAATGCTTCGGCGACAAGATGCACTCCAGCACTTCCTTATAAAGCCAAGAAAGGTGATGAGCCAACTCAGTGCAGGTGTGGGTGATTAGCGCAATGCCTAATCCGAGAGGCAGGGGGCGATAACATCAAAATGCCTCAGAGACTGCCAAGCAGAGAAACAAAATACTTTTWTTTCTTTCTGCTACATTCTTAAATACCAATATAAACATTCACGCAACTCTGGGAAGGTACTGCTTTGCTGGATATTCTGTGAAACTTTCTGCTGTTTTACAGTAAAGTAGCTGTTTGTGTGTGAGAAAGACAGGAAGCAGGGTGACACCAAAAGATTGCTGTTGTTGTTTTTCACAATTCTCTAACACGTACAGTATGTCTTTAATTGGCAGAGTCATTACAAATCCTGGCTTGATCCATCTGGAKTTAATGTTGTGATAGGTTGTGTGTTTTTTATTTTAGTATCCAGAATTCTTTGTTCTAGGAAGCCTTTAAATTACTTACTGAGATTCTGAAACTTGAGTTTTAACACTTTCAGCAGAGCGTTCAGTAGAGATGTTTCTTGTATGTGAAAATGATGAAATAATGTGCTAATAGTCCAGACCCTCAGAAAAACAGTTACTCCTTCATCAACCRCACATTACTGTCTCCGGCTCTGCAGCAACACATAATACAAAGAAAACTGTACATTGCTTTGCAGATTTATTCAGTGCACCTATCTACGAGCAATGTCATTTAAACCAATAAAAACGTGCAACAGCTCCCAACAACCTCACTTATTTTTATTCCTTCACCAACATAACCCTGCTATTGTTTCTGCCAYGACTGCAACTGATGATCTCAGTTCTGTCACAGGTTGCACTGAAACCTGTTCCTCCCGCTAATTGAAAGATGCCTTTAGTGATTTGTACAGCAGACAGGTTGTATTTTTACTTACCGAGCTGTCACAGTTCACCTTCATCTGCCTGTCTTTTCTGCACAAGCCAACAAAATAAAAAATAAAACGTTCAAACCCTGAAAGAATGAGAGACAAAAAAAAATCTGTGCACTTGAGAACTACTAAAGTTCTGCAG